TTCCAAAGTCCCAGTCTGTTTATTACTCCGCGAATTTTCTTAACATTTTACTAAGTCGTCAAGTGTTGACTGAAAAATACTTAGATAAAATACTTAGAAAACCAAACGTCTTGCTATGCTGTTTTCTACATAGATAGATTTTTCAGTCTAAAAAATAGATAGAAAAATTCTCTTAAAATCTCTTAATGATAGATAGATAGATAGATAATAGATAGATATTTGTAAGACTGAGATAGATATTTAGATAGATGAATAGATAGATATATTGATTTTTCTGATAATAGATATATAGATAAAATAATAAATAGATAGAGATGAACAGACTGAGAGGCTGTGGTTCAAGATATCTCGAAAGCGATTGACAAGCTTGGGTACGCTAGACCTTTACCTCAGCTCTATGTTTAAAATCAGTCAACGTATATTTAATCCAGTTGTTCCTATCAAATCTTGAAATAAAGTTCGTTTTGGATGGACTTACTTTCCTATTCTTACTCCGGAATGCGGATGTCTTCTAAGGCTCTATCCTGGATCATACGCTGTTTTTTTTAAATCTTCATCAGTTGTCTTCTTGATGACGCCATTTCCAAAGTAGGCATTTATGCTGATGACACTACCATTTACTCACGTTTCAGTAACAAACCCGTCTTAGCTGCTCATGAAAAGGACGTCCAATATGCGTTTAACTGTGCCAGGAAATATCTCGTAAATCTTAATCCCTCTAAAATCAAACTGTTCTCATTTAACCATCATAGAGGATTTTTCCTGTCCGCCATCAAAATGACTGATGCTAGGTTCATAGGGAGCAACACACTGCGCTATCTTGGCCTCACATTTTCAACTAACATGAAGTGAAACGACTAAATCGAATCAATAGCTGCATCTACCGCAAGGAAAGTTGGGTGACTGTGTCGTGACAGAAGTTTTTTTCGCGTCAGATTCCATCTTGCACATTTACAAATCTACCATTCGTTCTTTCATTTTATACTGTTGCTATATCTAGTCTGGGGCTCCTGCTATTTATCTGGAGTTCCTTGACAAAATCCAAAGAAGGATCTGCAATGAAATCTATCCCGACATAGCATTTCGACTTTAGTCACAATCTCATCGTTGTGATGTGGCTTCCATCTTTCTTTTCTAAAACATATTTTAATGGAAACAACCCAGACGACCTTTTTTTCCCTGGTGCCTGGATACGCTAGTTTAAGCGTGCTACTAGATTCCACAATCCAAGCCGCTATCCATTACTCCATCTTGCATCCTCACACACACACACACACACACACACACACACACACACACACACATATATATATATATATATATATATATATATATATATATATATATATATATATGTGAAAATATATAGAAAATAGGAAGGAACTGGTTAGGTAAATAATCCAAAGTCCCTTAGTATTTTAGTTATTATTTTTTAAAATAGTGCTCGATACAAAAGTAGAGCATAAATATAATTATTTATTTAAAAATATGATTCCAAATCGCGACATAAGAAGTCCCATGTTTCTCAAAAGAAGAGCCGAAAAAAATAAATATAAATTATTTAAATTAAATTGAGTTAAAATAAGCTCTGTTCCATCTTCAAGCGAAATTTTTTGTATTCAAAAAAAATCGTATGAAGATGGAACAAAATTGTATTTTAATTTTCAAATATAATTTAAATTATAATAATTATATTTAGTTTTCATTTTTGATACTTATATGAGAATATGTCGCGATTTGGAATCCCTTTTTTTATATGTATATATATATATATATATATATATATATATATATATATATATAAATATATGATTGTGTGTATGTGTGTGTATGTGTCTTGAGTGTCTATTATTGAAAAGTGTAGATATTTTGTATCTGTTCAATTAAACCATCTTTTTTTAATCTTACGCTAATCTGGCTGACGCAGATGTACGAAATTTCCAAAATCATTATCAGGTGTCGGTAAGTTCGTAAACATCATTAGTCTTAATTTATATTGATATTTTTCTGGAGGTTTAATGTCGTTTTTGTAATTGCAGTGCAGACTATGTTAATTGCTAACTAATTAACCGACATGACTTTCAGAATCTCTCCAAAGGCAAGAAATTCATTTTGCCTTTTCCTGGCCATTCCTTCATAATGGGTTGAAGGTAATTGTTGAGACGTTGAGTGTTTCCCCGTGCGTGTATTGAAATAAGGACAAACACATACGTAGGAAAAATACTGGTATATCTGAAGAGGTATTTACAACAGAGAGATTAGTAGTCAAACGAACGCAGGTTAGTCAGTAACAATCAGAAAGAGTATAAAAGTCCAACTGTATCTTCCGGTAGAGAGACGGAAGTATGATGGTCACCTGATCTTCCCCAGAACTCTATAGAACTGTCCTATTAGTAGTAGAGGATCAGTCCATTCTGATGAGAAGGTGGGTATTCCAACAGTAATATATAAATATATATATATATATATATTTTAATGAACACATTTTTTAAAATTAAATTGACAGTTGTTTCATGCTAAATGCAATTTGTTTTCACCTGATGTTTTACATTTAGCATTAAACAGAATTCGCCTTTTTTTTCCTTGCTAACCATTTTAATTTTAATTGGAAAATCTGATATATATATATATATATATATATATATATATATATATATATATATATATATATATATATATATATATTTTTTTTTTGAATTTAAAAAGAAATTCATATATCTTTTCGGAAATTAATCTAAGGCAAATCCTCACCGAATTCTTCAGAATATATTGAAAGTAACACATTTATATGTTTTAGGTCTGCCCATGTGTTTTCCGTGTCGACAATATGTATTTTAAAATGTTTATAGAAGCTGGACAAAGGTTTTAAGAATTTTGACAATGGGAAAAAGGTTCAACATTTATTTAAGCATACACACAAACACACACACACTCATTTCTTCCTTCTGTTTTGGGATCTGATGATGCCGAGAAAGGCGAAACACTTAATCAAGACTAGTGTCAATGAAATGTTTTACACACACACATATATATATATATATAAATTGAGATCAAATATGTATCATGTATTGGAATCCGACTGAATAATAGGATAAAGAACAAATAGTAAAATTTTATAAATCTAACATGTCTCTCTTTTATTAAAAAAAATATATGCTATATATATATATATATATATATATATATATATATATATATATATATATATATATATATATATATATTCATACATATTTCATTTTTTCTCAATCTAAAACTTTGGCTTACATACGCCATTATCGTTGCTAGGAAATCATCCATGTAAACAATCACAGACTATCATCACTGTCTTGTCCGTATATTGCTTAATATGTTGTACAGTAATTGACATTTTTAATAATGGCTTATGTAAGCCAAAAAAAGATTGGATTAAAAAATATGGATCAATATTGTGATTTTCTTTCTTCATTTAATGATAATGTTATTAAACTTATTAGACGTTATGAAAAAAATTTACATAAAATAAATAGACAACAAAAAGATCTATATTATTTAATGAAACATGTATGAATGAAAAAAAAAAAAATATAAAATACATATAATATATATATATATATATATATATATATATATATATATATATATAAATATATATATATTGTAATTGTTTTGTTTTTCTTTAAATAACAGAAATATTATTTACATGGTTAAAAAAGTAGGGGATGTTTTTTTATTAGAAATTTTATGATAAAAAAGAATTTTCTTATTAAGTTCTGCTCTCGTTAAAATATCTTTTTTTAGGCTTCATTACTGCAGCACAAACATTCGTTACAAAAAGTTTCTCAGAGTGTAAGTTTGAGAATTGATTCAATTCTTATTCAATGATTCTAAGAGGGCATTTTCATTTTTTTTTTCGTTTTTCTGTCAAGTTCATCCCAGTCAATCCCATTAGGGGGAAAAAACAGACTGAAAATTAGTTAATTATAGAAGAAATGTTCTGCTCAGACAAAAATCAGTTTGTTTAATTTTAAATAAAAAATTTTATCTAAAAATAATGTATTTTAAATTTGTGTGTGTGTGTGTGTGTGTAAGTGTTGTGTGTGTGTGTGTGTGTGTGTGTGTGTGTGTGTGAAAATGATATTTTTGAGGTATGCTATATTTATTTCAAATATAAAAGCTCAATGTTTTTTTATATATAGATATTTAAATATAAATATAAATATAAATTGAATCCATACCTCAGAGGCGATTTATTATTTTTATTTAATGAATGGACGCAATCGTCATGTTCACTGATTTATGAAATATATATAAATATATATATATATATATATATATATATATATATATATATATATATATATTTATATATTTATATATATTATATATTATTATTTTATTATATATTTTTATTTTTATATATATATATATATATATATATATATATATATAATATTTTATATATATATATGTTTTTTTAGACTTTTTCAGATATTTTTACATATAATTAATTTTTTTAACCAAATTGAAAAAAAAATAATTTTTTAGTATATTAATTTTTAAAAAAATTTTAATATAAATGATTATTTATATCTGCCCGATTTAAAATCATTAATAAATATGTTAATTCTTCATATATATTTCCTATATATATTTATATAACTTTATAACATTTAAATATTTTTAAATGAAATTAAATTTTTTTTGTTTTTCAATACATTTTACATTAAAGTACAATTTTGTTTTATATTTATTATTCCATGATATTATGTGCAAGTTTCAATGATTTTAAATATTAAATTCTTATTAAATGGTAATTAAATAGTTTTTATTATTTTGATATAAATTATTGTATATATATAATATAAATAATGTCATTGTAAAAAATACTTTTTAAATATATATCGAGATATAATTTCATTAAAATATCAAGAATATTATATATAATTCCAAATAGAATAAAAATTTTTCTAATCGAATATAAATATTTTCAAAGAAAAAAAAACTTTTTTACATTTAAA